GTTGTTTCCGTCTGATTCCGATGGACAATCGCCACTCACTGCGTCTGAATTTGACCGGAAATCTCCATCGCCGCCGTCTGAAACCGAAGGAAAATCTCCGCCGTCACTAGGCGGCGAATCTCCACCGTCTGATTCAAACGGACAATTGACATTGATTGCATGTGAATTTGACCGGAAACCACCGGAAAATGAGGGGAAATCTCCGCGGTCGCCTTCTGATCTAGGCGGCGAGTCAGACGGAAAGTTGCCGTGGAAGCCGCCGTTGTATCGTGAAGGTGATGTCTTCCAAGATTGGTGGGAGCTTCTACTGGTACGTGTATGCTCGAAGTTGAAGAGTTTGGTGACATGGTTCTCTACGACTCTCCGATCAATTTATCCAGTTCTTGCCATTGCAATTTGGTGGTGGATGCGTGTACGAGCTCGTCGGAGAAGTGTCGAAGGAGAAACCACAGGTCGCCTTCGAGATACAATCAAAGAGAAAGACGAGGTATGTAATCTCTTCCGTTTTGCATTCAAAGTGTTCGATGAAATGTCTAAGAGACATGACCATTACCTCACTCAATTTTCACATGGTTACTTACAACAACTCTTGTTTTCTGGATTTGTACAGAGGATAGTTAAGCTTTTGCATCAGATTGCTCAAATGAATGAGTTACTGGTTAAGCATCACAAGGAAATCGTATCAAGAAGATGATTCAAATTCTTTTAGTAGCTTACTCTGATTCTTTTGTTTCTTTGTTTATATTCTTTTCGCAAGTTTCTCTCTTTCTGTAATATTCTTACATTTCAATCTCTCAAAATGAGAAAAGACGTAAACTTTCTCAGTTCCAACTAAAATCATACGAGTCCCGAGTCACATTTCGAAATTAGACACACTGCAAAAACAGATCTTTGCAAGGAAAGGTATCTATTTTTATATATGTAGGGAAGAAATACAATGGAAACAAAAATTAAAAGAACTGAGCTTTGAAAAAATGGAGCTATAATCAATCACATTTAGAATTTGCCAAACTGAGTTATCGGCTGCTAGCTCTGCGCTTCAATCTTGAGCGGTGTTGATCTTCGAATATCAAACCTGTTTACAAATTTCAATGGAAATGTTGTCTCATTCCTGATCCTCTTGATCTTAGGGCTTAACAATCCCCTATGACCAAATCCATAAAGCTTAAGCACTTGATTATCCGCAAAGTTAAATGCTCTCTCCATACTCTTCAAGCAACGTTCAACCGCGTAATCCGCATAGCTCCCACAAGGTTTGCATCCCACAAAGTGAGTAATAAAGGGCCATCTTTCGTCTCCCAATCCCGGATGATACTTCTCCATCATCTCCTCGTACTTATCCACTAATCCTTCCCAAAAACCATGAAGATAGTACTGGTTCTCCACAAAGACTTTCTCCATCCACTTATCCTTCTGTGAAAGCAGCAAATAGATCAACGCAGACTGATCATCAGCTTCGAACGCCGGTCTTCCCTTGAGATTTGCGGTGAGAATCTTCCCGGCTTCTTCCCGAATCGGTCCTTTTGGTCCCATTGGAGCCCAAGCATCCAACAAATTCAAAGACCATTGACAGTTCCTAAACAAGAAACTACCAGTATTCAAAGCGATCCACGACTTTTGCTCGAACAACAAATCCGGATATCCGTGAATAACCAAGTTATGATTCTCGTATCTCGACAAGGGAATCTCAAACACCATGTCAGTAAACAGAGCATCACTATCCATCCACCAAATCCATTCGATTTCAGGATGAGACAACATCAATCTCCTAAGCATTGGTAACTTTGCCCAATACCCAGCAAGCTCCTTGTCTAAATGAGCCATGTTATAAACAATCTCAATCCCATGAATCCTACAGTAATCAATCTTGTTCTTGACTGATTTCAATAGGTAATGATCACCAATCGGATTGTCACAAGGCTTAGGAGGCGAACCTGTAAGAAGCAAAACCTTAGCTTTCCCGCCAACGAAACTCGGAAACTCTGGGTTTTGTGTTAACCATGTTCTACGTTGTTCGTCCCAGTTAGTGATCTTTGGTCCGAGTGTGTAAGTCATATTGAGATCGAGATCCGAATCAGGTGGTTCGTTTGTGTCGGTAGGATCCGAATCGGATCGGATCTCCCCTAGAAGTCGGTTAGTCTCTTCGATTAGGTTCTGGTTAACGGCGTCGGCGTCGGAAGTTCCGAAGTTGACTCCGATTGTTCCACGGAGGACGAGGATTGTGACGAAACCACATAGAATCGTCATCTTCACGTTATTGAACGTCTTCTTGATCTGTCTACCACGTAATTGTGGTCTTCTTCCTCCGCCACTCGCCATCGTCGTCGGAAGAACACCGCCGGAGACGGCGACGGTTGAGACACGCTTCTGTGTCTTGAATCCATCTTCCTTCGCCATTTTTACAAAACCCTTTGATCAAGGAGCCATTTTTGTAGTCTTGTCTGAGCTAT